CCCCCCCCCCCCCCCTTTTTTTTTTTCCTGGGGAGGGAAATGGAGTGGAGATTAGTTGACAGAGTGCTATTAGGTAGCTATTTACGCACATGGTTAGATATGTTATGTTCAAATATTTTGCTCCACCTATATATGCTGGGGGGCTGTCAATCCTATTTTCCTTTCCTGTGTTGTTGATTAGTAGTCACGAAGAGTAATGATTATTGGTTTTGGCATTTTGAATTATTCGATAATGCAGGTATCTTTGTTGGGGGAAGTAAAGTGGTTCATTTTACCCGACCTAATGTCAATTCAAGCAGTGAGACCTCTATTGATTCCTATGATGAAATATCAAACCTTTTGTCATCCTGTCCAACCTTTCCTGACTGTGGATTCAGGCTACCCAATAGTGGAGTGGTCCTCTCATGCTTGGATTGTTTCCTTCGAAATGGATCCCTTTATTGCTTTGAATATGGAGTAAGCCCATCCGTTTTCCTTGCCAAAGTGCGAGGAGGTACTTGCACAACTGCAACATCCGACCCACCAGTAACTGTCATCCACCGAGCAATGCATCTGCTTCAGAATGGTTTTGGGAACTATGATGTGTTTCAGAATAACTGTGAGGATTTTACCCTTTACTGCAAGACAGGGCTTCTAACAGTTGACAGGTTGGGGGTCGGAAGAAGTGGGCAAGCTTCTTCCATCATTGGTGCACCATTGGCAGCCCTTCTTTCCTCGCCTTTAAAATTGCTAATGCCTAGTCCTGTTGGCGTGGCTACTGTAACAGCAGGGATGTATTGTATGAGCCGATATGCTACTGATATTGGAGTTCGAACTGATGTGATCAAGGTAGCAGTGGAGGACCTGGCTGTAAATCTTGGTTGGCTGGGGACTCAAGAGGATGTAGCAAAGGAAGACGAGGCTTCTAACCAACTAATTGTCTTATAAAGTTGCATAAATAAATATCTGCTGCTTAGCGCTAAATAAGCGTGTATTTGCCGATAATAAAATGCGTGGTTTTAACACGGCAAATTTATTTTTATTTTTTATTTTTGAACTGGTTCAACATGGCAGTTGTGGGATCCAAACATTTGCCATTTGCCTGTTTAAGTATGCGTGAATACTGATAATATTAATAGTTCTGTTGTGAACAAATGAAGGTCCTCCCATTAAATCTTTTGTTGTGCTACATATTTGAAGCTATAGACTAGTTATGACATTCTCCTATTGTGGCTATTGATGCATGCTAAAATATTGTGGTGCGTCGCATTGCTTTCGATGTGAGTTAACTAGATTGAGCACCGTGACAACTTCAATGACTTCTTGGCAAGTCAAATTTATATTTTAGTCTGCCTATTTTTATGCTTTTCCGAATCCATTTTTTCTCGTGCACTAGTTGTTTGAGGTGTGGATTATGCATACTGAATCAATCATTTTGTGCATAGATGGAGGAGGGAGTTGTTCCAGTGGATTCGCGGACTTGGGATTCAATCTTTGTTCAGCTCAACTACAGCAGTGTCATGGCTGAATATGTGGCTTAAGAACATTACAGAACCCATGCAGCTCGGACCCAATGCACCCCAGATATTCGCAACCCCTTGCTAGAGTAGAATGAATAACTTCAGCTCTAAATTTCCCAAGAAAATCCCTTGATCTCTTTTTCTGGGAAGTAGCAAGTTCTAAGTTGCTCAGGCCAACACTCTTTGTAATTGAATAGACTCAGCCGAACCTCAAGTAAACTTATGGTTCAAAAACTATTTTCAAAACCCCAGAGGATCGACAATTGATTTCAGTTTTGCTAGTTGCAAGTATAAGAAGTGAACAGCAGTGGACTGAATGAATTTGATGTGCTCCATCAATGCAAGTTGCAACTAATAAAAGCAGACAGCCAAATCTATGTACTTAATGCAGCACATGGATAAAAATCCAGAAGAGTAATGCTAGATGGATTTAAAAATTAGACTTGATAATCTCAACCCTTGAATAAGTAGTAGGTCCCAATAAATGCTAGGACCTATAGTGAAATCAATGGTTGAGATTATCAAGTCTAATTTTTAAGTTTATTTTTTGAGTCTATGTACCATTGCTCAAATCCAGAAAAGCCCGGTTCACATTGAGGATAGGGAGCTTCTTGGCTGCAAGATTCTTTCGTGATAAAACGGCTCAAACGTATCAACTTTTTATTTATCACTCCATTTATGAATCCCAATTTGTGTTCATGCCTTAAATTATAAGTCAGTTACCACTTGCCCTATCGGATCGGCATTTCTGCAACACCGTTCTATGTTTTGTATAAACCTCCAGTCTTAAACGACTCAGCTCTTCTAAGACATTTATGCATCAACTCTGATTTGTCTGAGTCATCATAATCGAATCGACCAATGGTCGGTGATCTGAATCTTCATGTTCAACTTCTTCTTCTGTCTAGCATTTCATGTATAACACTTGATACCATTCCAGATCTTAAATTAAATTTCAATTAATATTACTTACAGATCGTAGAAAAGTGATCATATAGAGAATTCAAGTCGGCCTCACTCAACAACTTTCATTTCAGAACACAAAAATGTCATATAGACCAGGATAAAAGTGGTTGTAAGCCACTTTGTGACCTAAATCAGACAAATCGATGTAAGAAATTTCACAGTTGGTGGCTTCTCATGGGCATGCTGTTGTAACCAATGGGGTGGACAATTTACGTTTACCTAAGAAGTTAATCATACTTATACGTTGGCCAACATAAGAGGAATGAATGAAAAATGGACAAAAAACTAAAAGGAGTTCATAATATGCTCCAAAACATGATCTCAGATCTTACACTGAAAACTTTAGATATGAGACTAATTCTCACCTCCATGAAACATTCAAGCACTCATCTTTCAGATTTTAAAAAATCATATTAAATATTCTTCAAGAGAAGTCCATAATGAGATTGAAATTGTCCAAGACATATCATGCATGTCGCATGAAGCTCTAGGTGTTGAATAAACCCATCTACCCCATCCAAACAAAGAAAGACAGCGCCATATATAAGTAGATTTTAAAGACAATATTAATGCTACAAACTGAATTAAATGA